AAATTAGTTACATTAGAGTAGTTTTCATTTATAAATCATTTATTTTTTATATCAAATTTTCTAGTATTTATTTATTTTTTATTCAGACTAAATATGGGCATATATAATTTTATTCTAAGTTAAGTAATATGGACACATAATATTCTCATCACAAACCAACTACAAGTAGTTAAAGTAGACTAGAAGCCTCACTTTTCTATGTGCTCTACCTCGTAGATAGTACATCTGGATGGTCCCATTTGAGGATGCCCTATTAAAACTGAAGAGGAAAACATCATCTAGGCTATTATTGGAAGCTTAAAAAATTGACGGACACAATCTATTGGTCCACCGATACCTCAAGCCATGACTTATTAACAAGGTGTAGCGGTTGGACATCTTCGGCAAAATGATCGAAAAAGAATACAAGGCTCTGATGCCCGCATGGCCTAGGGGGAGACAATGGTGGCTGCTCAGGCGACCAAGAAGAAGGCTCGCTCGATTGCTCAACTTGAAACTATTGAAAAAGGGATCGGTGCTGAAGGTAGTTCTGGTTAGAGGGTCATAAAGCTTGAAAGATGTGGATCTTGTTTATTCTATTTCTACTTCAACTATTGTTTTCAAAGAATTGTGACACGTGAGCTAATCCTCATTGAGAGACCAATGTTTTCAGCAACAGTTAAAAGTTCTCTTTCAGCTGTTAGTTTTCCGAGCGCACAACAATAGGATGCTAAGAAAATAGTAAGTTGCACGGAGTCGTAGAAAGGCCTAAAGCAAGGTATGCCACTCCTCAAACGACCAACCTGACATTCATTGAGCTATCCTTGAGGGATGAGCTTAGCTGCTTTGTTTTTGGTGGCCAACTGGATCTTCTCATGGTGAGTGCCCATTAAGGCCGTAGCTGGAGCTGCATCATCCCGAGCCAGTCAACCACGAGAAGTATCACTGCGAGGGGAAAGCTCTAACGACCAACTCAAACAAATTACATCTTGTTTCATCTTGGAAAAAAATGCAAAGGACCTACAGTCAAGTGGATCCTGATGCAAACCAAGGAGCCAAAGGTGAGCCGAACCCGAGTGGTAAATTTGTACTAATAAACCTTCAATGGGACTAACATTCTGATTCCTATGCAGCAACTCACCGCCCCTCCTAAAGAGCTAACCTGATATGGTCTCTCAGCTTTGAAGAGGCCCTTTTAGAGCATAGCTTTTATAGCCCTGTACTGAACAATCAATAGATATCATTTAATGACCTTAGAAGCTTCTCATCTCCAGTCTTCCATCCTCCGTCAAGAGCGCTATGAACGATTTGGGATTGAATATCAATTGACTGAAGCTGAGGAGGGACTAAAAAAAACTGATGTAGAGGTGCTAAGGTACTTGAAGCTTCTTTTTACTACTCAAAAGGAAAACTGAATCATGAAAGACCGAGTGGAATCTATGAATGACAACTTTTTTGTTGAGTTCTCCTTTAATCTGACTCTGGTGGGTCTTCTAGCGAAGAAATTTAGAGATGGGGTCACCTTTGGCGTTGACCATCTAGCAAAGGCTCAACTAGTTTCTTCTGAATGAATTGATATGAAGAATTTTTCCACAGTTATATCTGACTCGAAGGAGGAGGAGGACAAGAGCGATCATGAAGACAATCTATCAGTCCACCTATACCTCTTGTTTCATCTATGAATGACAACTATCATTATATTAATGGTGTTGAGTTAGCATTGACCTGTCGACATCAATTTAAGCTTACTGAGGTGCCCCGTCAACATGAGCATGCATTCTTGTGGCAAATCTCTAAGGTCGAGCATCCTTAACGTTTCAAGGTCCCAACACTGGAGTCCTACAATGCTTGGACTGATCCGGCATACCACATAGCATTGTTTTGATTCGACTATGTATTTGTCGGCTGCACAGACGGTGCTATCATTCATATTCCTGCGTTTTATTGTCAATTTCATAAAAAAAATGAATTAGTAATTTTTTCTCTAATTATGCAAATGATCCCACAGTCGGCTGAAACTAGGGAAACTTGCAAATTTCATGCAATGGATTGTTGAGTCCAGTCGATACTCAGTGAAGTTAAAACAACCTGTCAATTAATGTTCCACCCGAGCAACAAAAGAGACAGTGCGGACAATATATGATCGGTAAAATCTCCTTAATAAACTAATAATAATGCTCAACGCCCTATCAAAAGACTCATAAGATCCAATATACAACACTCATGCATCATAAAAACTCATATCTCGTACCTCAAAATGAGTCAAGCTCTAGCATATTCTCTACATATTAGCGACAAGATTCTAGATGGGTAGCATATGAATCACCCCAGCAGCAATTCTGGATGATTGCCTCCATGAAGACAATGACAAGTTTGCTTAATGCACATGGCTTAAGGTGCAACTCATCCAAGGCAACGACCTAATCTAGTGAAATTTGAGTCAGGCGGTAGCTTAGTGAACTGACCAAAATTTTTATTAACTTGCCAACTCCTTCGACACTCATCACAACACGAATCATTTAATATGGCGATACAAACATATATACAGTAAAGGTAAAGCGCAAGACCGACAAAAAAAATGTGTTTCTCATTCATAATAAAAAAAATTGCTTACAAATATTCTTATATCTTTTTATAAGTGTTAGACAAAAAAATATCTCTAAGTTAATTGCAAAAAAAAAAAATAATAATAATAAGAGCAGCTATACATTAGTTGTCATTCTTATCAAAGGTTGGAGGAGCATGTATGTCATTGGGCATTGACCCTTCATTCGGGGGTTGTTGATCTCTCTTCCAGATCAGTACGACTCATATGACCTCCAACATTTAGTCCTTCAACTCATGGATTTTTTGGGCCATGCATTCTCTTGTGTATTTCATTTTGTTGGTGTCACTGTTATGGAACTCTTCTTCTTGAGATACTCTTTTTATTATTTTTGACGTGATCCATGCTCACTGCACATTTTAGAATGCTTGCTCCAAAATTGTTCATGAATCATACTTAATGAATATTTTAAATAAGAAGAGAGGGAGAAAGAGAGAAAGAGAGAAAGAGATGGATGTAATCAATTCTCACTTATTCATAAAATGTTTCCCATCTTATAGAAGAGATGATATTATATATTTGCCCTAATTTGGAAGGGGTTCGTAATAGGATACTGCTGATATTTTTACATGCATAGACTTGTCATCTGGCTACCTTATGGCTACCTTATGGTTTGCTGATATTTTTACATGCATAGGCTTGTCATCTGACTACCTTATGGCTTTACGTCAATGGGATCAGCTTGATCGGCTAAGCGTAGCCGGTATGGGTGGGTCAGCTAGTCTAGCTTGACTGTCAATCCTTGATACATGGTGAGGAGCCTCTAAGGCGTCCAAGTGATGGTTGGAAATAATGTAGAACTGAATCTTTTCTTGGATCAACTTTACTATAGATATTGGATTGACTTTCTTATAGTGGCTGACTTAAATGATCTTTTGTCTTATTTCTAGCCGAATGACCCTCACTTGAATCATCCAACCATTTTTTTGTCTGCCTCGAGGTTTGATCGGTTTTGATGTTATTAACTTAGCTCATATGGCTTCACTATGTAGGTTAAGTATGCCTCACAATCTCCTGACAACAGACCATTTTTCATCTAAATCTTCCCTTTTGACCCATTAGATCTCTTTAAGATCAGTGCTATCACATTTTTGATGTAGACACTCACATTATGTTCTCGAATAATCAAATTCATATATTTACTTATGTACTATCAAATTAATATTTGTACATCTTTATTCTTCTAAGACTTCAATGGCCAATTATTTTTTTCCCCTTAGAATTTATATAAAAAAACATCATGTTCATATTTTATTATTCAGAAAGAGCACAAATTAATTTTTTATTATGAAATGAACTCGGAGTCACATTCACTTTTTGCCCAATCTCCCAATTCCCTAAGTATCTAACACCTAAAACTTTACTTTTAGAGGATGTTTGTTAGCCAATTTTAAGCATGATTCATACATGATTTATGTTAAAATACTACCAAATCGTAATAAAAACACTCATAAATCCTACAAGTTCTTAAAGCCCATTTTTCTTATTAAATCCCCTCCGAAGAATGATATACGATCAGAGAAGCTAAAACATCAGAAATACAAATCCTATTAAATTCTATTAAAGCTCTCAAATAGTTTCACCAGATTTATTAGCATTTACGTATTAACGTACGAAATAATTTCCCGAATTTAACACTTTCGAGATTTTATAAATTCGGAATTATAATATTTATTAAGTCTTATTTATGCTAAATCCTACTTACAATATTTATACCACTCAAAATTACTTTTAAAAAATAAAATATACATTTTTCATGCAATTGTAAAAATTGAAGCTTAGGGCTATATATGTAAATACATAGAATAAACTGGTATGTTAGATAGTTAAATTATTCTAATAATTGTACGAGGTAATATTTAAAAGGGTAATTTTGATTAAAATACAATGAAAGTGATTTATTGGAAATATTAAATGCGAAAAATTACAATATTTGTCTTCGCTGTCCATCAAACTTAACTTTTAAAATTAACCTTAATATTTTAATAGTTAAAGTGTTGAGCAAATGAGGTTTGTTTTTTTTAAATTGGGTATTTAAATTGATTAGAAAGGGAATATAACAATTAAACAAACTATGATATATGACATATAAATTAAATAATTGCAATGTAAAACTTTTTCTGAAATTTTGCATAAGAATAAGAAAAAGGTAAAACTTTCTAAAATTTTGCATCAATTTTTGATTTATTATCAAGAAAGACATTGTCACCCTCATTTGAGGTAGTTTATGTGCGGCAGCATTTTTAAAAATGTCACATAACTCTTTGGTTTACACGTTTTTGAGAACGCTGTCTATCGTGTTTGAGTTTTTTTATATTAAACACAGATTACGGGTCGACCTGTCGGCCGTATTTTAGGATAAACTATTTATCCTGAGACGAACAACAATAATAATTTATGTAAGATGATTTCTGTTCATCCATCGTCCTCCTCTTTTCCATCTCAAATGTTTGTTTATAAACAACCCTAGTTTAGCTCAAAGTACCACAGACAGATATTGCCCGCCTCTTCTTTGCTTGCCTGTCAGCAGAAGAGGAGAAAGTTCAGTCTGTAATGAAGTCCATGCCGCCCTGGTTAGCGTAACTCCCACGACAAAGGAGCTGCCTCGGGAAGTTCTAGTTGAATGAGTCCGATCCGCTGCTCCCAACCTTCTTACGTGCTTCTCTTTTTAATCCCGTAGTCGGATCGAGCGGGTAAGCGATTGTGAGACTGATAGACTGCTAACAAGAGAGAAAGAGGAAGAACGACGAAGTAAGAGGTAGAGCGAATGGGAGATCAGGACGGAGGAAGAGGAGAGTGGTTTTGGTGCTGATGAGTTCGAGAAGTCAATCGAAGAAGGTGCGATGTCTAGTTGCTCTTTCGCCCTTTTCTTATCTCTTTGGGTTATGGTTTGTTGCCGTCCGCCTAGCGTTCTTCTTCCTTGGATTTGCCATTGAGAGGGAGGGAGGCAGACAAAGCTTCGTCTGTCTAATTGTCTCTTCTTCAAGCATTAGTGGCTGTTTGGCTGCTTTAGTAAATCCTAAATCCAGATTTATCAGAACTTTATGGTCCAGAATCTAAAAACAGGAACTGGTTTGGCATGATCTAAGCTAAATCTTGCTTACATTCTGCCAAACAGCCCCATGGAGTTGGAAATCCTAGTCTCTGAGAAGGAAATTCAACTTGTTTAAATTATAAACGTTATGGGATGGTTAATGCCAATGGTGATATTTATTAATCAGCATAAACCAAACCTTTAGAGGGAGAATCGAAGGGTTAATCAATTTTTTGTTTATATATTTTAATTTGAATTATGAACTTTTGGTTCCACGTGGCTAAAAATTTTCTGAACTAAGAGTTTCCAAAACAAATTCACCTTCGAAGGAATTATATGGCCAGAATTTGGGTATTTTCGCAGAAGTGATTTATGGAAAGAAATCACTAGCAAATAGAATAAAGTTTCCTAATCTGTTAGAGGTATCATGTTAATTGTTTATGTTTAAAATCATTTTGATATAATGAGTTATATTAGCCAATATTTAAACTAAAAGAAAATTTATTTGGGTTCATGAAATTAATATTTAGGGCATACAATTACTGCTGGCTTGGTGTTTTTATGTTAATTTCCTATGCTGAATTCTATTTTTATTAATGAAGAAAATTGTGCATCATATATTGAAATTAATTATGAATATCAATTAGGGAAAAGCCTAAGAAACTCTCAGTTACAAGAATATCCTAGATTATTTGTATTCTTATGTAGCAATTATTGTGTATTATAAATGGTAAACCTTTGACAATAACTCTTTTGAATCTAGGCTGTATCAAGCACTATGTGTTGGGGCTGGAATAGATTGAAGTCATGATCTATACACTGAACCGCTTGGTCTGCATTAGGTTGGTGACTCTTACTCGTTGAGAAATGAGCATACTTTTTTCTGGATAGGGATGTTTTCTCGACATCTATTATTGATTCAACTCTTTGTTAATTTATTTTGAATCATGCTTTATTATTCATAATATTTTCATGTTAATTGCCATATAGATCCAGTACATTCTAGAAATGAATCATGTGTTAAGATAATTATTTTTCATATACATTGTCTTAGTAGATGAGAAATAAATACAGCTCATGAAAATATGTATATAAAATATGCTTGTATGCTTGATGAATATGATTGTTGGTACTGTTGGCCTAGTCAATGAGCTTGCAAAGGTGACAACTTATTTTGATGGAATTCTTTGCTTATATATTTTGAATATTCTGTCCAGAAATGTTCTCTCATAGTCATTGATTATACTTTACATTGTATGGTTGATCTTTCATAATACCCTTAAATACTAGGAAAGTTTTCATCATCCTGATGGAATTCATAGAAGCTTGAAAAGAATTGTCACCCTTTGTAAGCTCATCGACTAGGCTTATAGTAATATAAAATCCATTATACTCATGGCTAATCTAGCATTTAAATTTAATGATTGTCCTTGTTTATAAACTTTATTGTACCATAATCATTTTATTTAGTAGCATTCTAATGATTCAAGCCATATTAGATTAGTCTAGTTTGATGCCATAATTTATATTTGTAAGGATAATATATCTTGCTCATTGTGACACTTTATCAATCATATTGCATGCTCTGCGCTATGTTATTTATGTATTAATGGAAGGTTACACCCTCTAAATTTATTTCTTGTAAAATCACAACTAATGATTTTTCGCTTTTCAGGGTTGTGCATCGTTGAGGAAGAGTTTTTAGATTCATATCTTAGGCCTCATGGGAAGGTGATTCAAATTGCAAAGTTATTTATTAATTTAATAGCTCTATGCATTTTATTAGAGGAATTCTTATAATTTGTAGGTTTTTTATCAATTTTTGGTGGATAAATTATTAGGATATCATTTTATTTTGGATAATTTGAGCTTGTTTTGGTTTGTATTTGTTATTGTGAATATATTTTGTTTGTTAAATTAACTTTAAATTTATCAACTTACCTCACATTGTTTGGTTATTGTTGAAATCTTCCAGGCTTGGTGGGCGTGCTATTAGCAACCCGACAATATGTTCTTATCCACAAGTAACTCCTGAAGGGTCTCCTCATGCATCGCAAGCGGCACGTTCATCTGAGAACAAGGTTTCAAGTGGCAGCAATGGGCACAACACAACTGAGAATGGCATTAGTTGTGTGGATCCTTCTTCGCCACCTTCATCTGGGGGTAATTTATTGTGGACTGGAAACTTTTCTTATTTTTTAATTTTTATTCAGTTTATTCTTAAACTCACTTGATTTCATCTTCCTATGATCCTCTGTGTTATGTAAGCATGGGTTAAAGTTTGGTAATACGGCACCACACTATATGGAATCAAGAAGCTTTGGATATATGCATAATATTTTCTAAGTTTTATCTGAAAATTTGCTGTTTTTTGGATTTAGATTTTCATCTCTTTTTATTTCTTCTTTTGTCTTCATCTCAGCTTTCAGAAAAAGAAAGAGGGAATGCATTTTTTTTTTTTCTTATTATCCATTTCAATCTCTGTCTTCCGCTAAACTAAATGCATTTTTTTTTTATTATCCATTTCAATCTCTGTCTTCCGCTAAACTTGCACTACTTTTCTTGTGATAGCATTTGTTGAACTCTTTCATGGGTACATTTATACCACCCACTATTTTATATGCAGAATGGATTCTATGTATGTACTTTTTTTCTTTCAAGTAGATTGCCATTAGAGTTATCTTTGGTTATCTTGAGGGGTATTTCTTTTTCACAGGAATAAGTTTTGGGTTAAATTGAGAAATGCATATCACTTGTACTTCAAAATGCCTTTCTTATTTGTGTTAGACATGAATCCAACCCCGTCATATATCCCTGCAAGCTAAAATTTTGGGCACAATGAATTTTTGACCTCAATTTCGAATTTGTTACGTTTAGGACAAGCCCCAACGTGACTGAAACATGCCGGCCAGACCCAACTGAGGCATGCAAGAATTAATTATATTTTTTGTTTCTATGATCCAACTTTGCAAATCGTGATCTTATCTCAATGATGATGAAAATGCTATTGAAGTGAACATTGATGTTAGTGATAATGATTGGGAAACCCAATATGTATGGACCGATTACTTATATATTAATTTTTTCATTTACCATGTGGTTATTTTGAAGATTCTACAATTATTTTTGGGTTTTTAATCTGTGTGTGTAGAGAATATACTATTGCTATCGACAAAATTACATCTATTATTAATAAAAATGTAGCTTATTTCTGATGAATAAGCACACTTGATGAAAGTATGGAATATGTAAATGTAATTGTAATAAACTAATGCTAATGTGATACCAGAGTTAACGCAAACAATAAGGAGCAAACGAATATTATTATTGAAAAGCTAATAAGCGGTTACAACCAACACACTGGAAGAGAAAATGAAAATAGACACGACACAAACTCACATTAGGATTCGATCCAGGGGTGTTTATGGTCAGCTATGGGGTTTAGAAGGGGTGGAAAGTGGCAGGAATGATGGTATGGGCGTTGGGATGAAGTATAACAGCGGATGGAGTAGTTTTTTAGGATCGGTAGCAAGTAGGGGGGCTGTTGGACAACAAAAAAACAACAAGTTTTTTATTTCCCGGATGGCGACAACGTGGCATGGCGAGGAAGCGGCACGGGGGTGAAGGCTGCAGGAAGTAGCACAGGGGGTGGCTAGAGGTTGGTTCTGCAGGAGGACAGCATAGGAATAGCAATGAGACACTGTTCTATCCGGCTGCGACATGGAGGGAAGTTGGGGGGGGGGGGGGGGGGGGGGGGCTGCGGGTCGCCGAAAATTCTACGTGAATCAGTTTTGTGGGTCGCGGGAAATCCTGCATGAGGGAGACACATCATAGTGAATGTAATTTTAATAAACTAATGTTGGTGCTTCTTTTGTTGATCTTAAGCTTTTTATATGATACATTTGATATTATACTTCATTGTGTATTTCTATTTAATCTAAAGAATTTTATGTTCAATGTTTTGATTTTTTTTATATTAATAATTCATAAACAAAAATGTTGTACCTATGGCATGCCGTGTCATACTTTTTTGTTTTTGTTGTGTCTCCATAATGGATTCACTGCCCATTTTCATAATTTGATATTAATGTTGAACTAGAAAAAACAACAAAAGGAGGTTGTTCCGGGTGGCTACAACAGGGAAGGGGCAATCGGGAGTGATGAGACAGATGCAAGACAAGGAAAGTCGGAGATAAATACCACCTCGTGAGTGGTTTACAACCGAAACACCACTCAACCATCGGAGGAGAATCACCATCTCAGAATGAGATCTTGTCAAAAAATCACTCGCCCTTGGATACAACTCTAGAAGGGAAAATAGAGGACACCCACGACTATCCTGACAGAAGCACAATCAAATACTAACCCTAAACTCTCACAAAATCAAATTTATAATAATAGGATAATTAGGAGTGGGCTAAGGAACTGTTTGACACTCTCAAAATAGAGAAAGACCTGGACTGGTTCGGTCCAGGCAAGTAGACGGGAGTCTGCGGGTCGCCGAAAATTCTACGTGAATCAGTTTTGCGGGTCGCGGGTAATCCTACATGAGGGAGACACATCATAGTGAATGTAAATTTAATAAACTAATGTTGGTGCTTCTTTTGTTGATCTTAAGCTTTTTATATGATACATTTGATATTATACTTCATTGTGTATTTCTATTTAATCTAAAGAATTTTATGTTCAATGTTTTGATTTTTTTTATATTAATAATTCATAAACAAAAATATTATACCCATGGCATGCCGTGTCATAATTTTTTGTTTTTGTTGTGTCTCCATAATGGCTTCACTGCCCATTTTCATAATTTGATATTAATGTTGAATGAATGTTTAATAAATATCTCAATTTGAAAGAGCATGATTTATTAATGATAAAATTCTTAGTTTTATGTTGTATCACAAAGCTTCACAAAGTTTGACATTTCAAATTGTAGTGCTTTGATATTAATCTCGCCCATAATTTTCTTACATGGTGGATGTTTGCTTTTATAGCTTGATTGCATCTAATTTTAATTTCTATAGAAGGAAGTGTTGCATTTAGTTTAGCTCGATTTCGCATATTATATTGGCATTGTAAACTCTAGTCCCAAAAATGTTTGCATCATTATTAGTATTAAACCTTAGTGATAACATTATAATGCTAACTAGAATTGAGTCTCATAAAAAGGAAGCATTTTTTAATTAAAAAAAGGATGCATTTTTGAACAAAATCTCAAAAAATAATTAGCTTAACATGTTACTTGAACAAAATCATATAAATGATGTTGTGAATCAGGTAAAGTTAATATGAAATTTTTTATTTTCAATTACTTATTATTCCTAATCAATAAGTAGACTTCAATCTAAAGTCGACATGTTAGTCCTTGTATACATAAGCTTGACATAACAATCACCCATGTGTTAGACATATTCAAAATAACAGATCCTAATATAATTTATGAGAATGATGTGAGGGGGTTATTAATATAATTTAAATACACAATATATATGGGTGTTAATTCAGGTTCGTGTCTGACGCAAAATTGACTCGACCCGAAATTACTTGATTTGAATTCAACTTGAATATTAAACATGTTAGAAAGGCCAACCTGAACCCGAATTGCCTTTAACCCACTGAATTGAACCCGTATAGCCCATTTAACATCTATTCGGGTTAATATCAGGTCAAATTTGGTCCCATTTTAGGTTGGCAGGTATATTTTGAGTCAATTTTAGGTTAATGGCTAATTTTGAGTTGGCGGGTCAACCCTACTCTGACCTCGACCGAAAAATTATATGGGTTGGAAATCCTAACTCGAACCCAACTTGAAATTATTTGGATCAATTCTAGCCCAATTTTTTTTAGTTGAGTTCAGGTTGAGTTGGCTTGTTGGGTCAAATTTTGACACCCTAATGATATGCATAACGATATAACTATGGAAGTAACATTAGAGATATTTTTATTTGATGGGAGAATATATGCTAAGTTCTTTCTTGATTGGGTTGTGGACATGAATATCTTATTTGAATGGCCAACTATATTTGATGAGCTTAAAAATTAAATTTTCTGAATTAAATTAAGCAACTTAATATATGTTCGATAAAAGTGGAAAATAAACAAAATGATTTGATAGTGAACTTATATTAACTCAGGAAGAAATGAAGGCAAAGATTAATATTCCATTATTTATACATGTTTGCTTGCTTGATGAATTTAATCCTATGAAGCAAGCAAAGAACATCTTACGATGTATATGAATGAATTAAAGAGCTGTTAATTCACAATGAAATAATGGAAGATTCTAGACCAATAATTTTCAAGTTTATGTAGAGTTTTATGGTTAATGTTCAAAGAAAAATGACAACATTTGCTTGTTTATTGAACATGCTTTTCAACTTATTTGGATTTTAAACTTGAAAAAAAGAACTTGATTTAGATTTAAATTTAAATTTATGTTAACAACTTCTATCTACTAAAAGATTCAAGATATACACTATAAATCTCCCATATTGTCTCCACACAAAAATGAAATATAATATTTTTCATATTTAAACATATTGAAACTGCAATTTTAAAATTTATATAGAAAACTTTAAATAAAGTACATTTAATTCTAAAATTATTATATAGCGTGCCTTTAATGGCATCGAAAGATCATTATACAAATGAAAGTCCAAGTGAAATTTAACATCTTGATGTAGCATGAGATGGAAATATTAATGACTATAATTAAATTTGTCAATTTGATCATGAAATAAGCAATAATGAAGACGCATTAGAGGATTATTCTTTAAAAGTTATGAGATATATTATTGCTGCACCTAAAATTAAATCTTAATGAAAAGAAACTTCTATTATTTAGCTTTATTTAAACATGAGGATAAAACATATAAGTTTATCATAGACAATGAAATTTATATTATTAAGGTTACTTTGACCATAAAGTGCATGAAACTAAATGCAAAGCCACAATTCCCATCATATAAATTAACATGATTGCATAAAAGTTCAATTTCTGTTGCACAAATATGTTTAATACTATTCATTTGCTAGAGACAACGATTGTATTTGGTGTGATATTTTATTTATGGATTTAAACCCAATTAATTACAGTTACCTTGGATATATGAATCAATTCTTAACCTTTAAAACTAGGGGTGTAAATGAACTGAGCTTGA